AATGTTGATCAATCGTGGACACAGCCTTCACCCCAGAAAAATAAGTGTTCTACATGCAGATATCTAGTTCTCATTCAGGTGAAACAATATACCTTAAACATGCTTGAGTTGTAGGACTATCCCCAGGGTAGAAATGGCTACAGGGAATTAATACCAGTAAATGATAGGCATTTCAAGTTCCATTAGCAAGATCATCTGTTATTTAAAATTGGTGTGTGCATCAAACTAGTCATTTCTGATACTGATTCTCCTTGTTATGATTTTATGCTCATCCAGTGAGCTAATTTATAGTAGTAGTTCGTATTTGTTGAGTACGTACAAGTTACCAGACACTGTAAACCAGGAAACTTTACATATATTAACTCATTTAGTCCTCACAAGAATCCTGTGAGATAGGTACCTTTATTATCTCCCTTGTACACAGAGACACAAAGTAATTTGCATAGCCACAGAACTGTGATTCAGATCCAGGCAGTCTGTCTCAAGATTATCTGCAACAACTATGCTGTGCTACCTTGGCATCTCATGTAGATCTACATTATAGGGAGAGAATACATTAGTCGCTTACTCTTTTGGTTATTTTTGATCCTATGACAGTGATTTCTTAACAGTGACAATAAAGTGACTCTTGATGATGGTTAAGCAGAGAGCCAAATCCTGGCATGGGGCCACCTAACAGAGGTACTAGCCAATAAGGTTTTTGTGACCAGCTCCTGGCTTCCCATTGGCCCATGTTTCCCAGTCATCTTTTGGCTGTGTCAGTGGGAGAGCTTTGCAGAGTTAGAATCCTGGTGCTAATCTCCCAGATACCTTGATTGGTCTAGGATGGAGCCTGTGAATCTATTCTTTAAAGAAACCTTGTTGGTTATTGTGACATCCATTTAAATTTGAGAACCACTGCTTTAGATGACACAAGGACTTTCTCTAGTAATTTGTACAACCTAGTTCAAATCTAAGAAACGGTGAAAGTAGTAAACTTCAGGTAGAAGTTTAATGATGTTTGTGATGAGCTAAATATAAAGATCAGTTAAAGATATGAATCTTGATGCCAGGGTTGAAACGTTAATCATTCTGAGATGCATTTCATAGTGATTTGGATATTAGGCCTGGAGCTGCACAGCCCGGGGGTGGATACTGTCTCTGTTGCACAGCTGGGCGGCCTGCTCAGGCTTTCCAGCACTGCCTTCCACGTTTGCCAAAGGGGAGTGGTAACAGTCCATAACTATTATCCATACAAAGCCCTGAGCCCAGAGCCTAATACTTGATTAGTGCTTGGTAAATTTTTTAGTTAGCACTTGTTGTCATTTAAGTGTTTTTCCAACTTGGGATATCATAGCTGAACCTAACTCCTTTTCTGATCCAGGTGTTTCTTATGGCTATAGTATCCGTCTGTAGAGTCACTGATGAGAGTGAAGACTCTAGTTGGTCTCCATACATAGTCTTAACCATAAACTAGGACCTTTAAACATCATTCTTGGACCAATTGAGTTAACCAGTACAGCAATTGAGCAGTTATAGAGTTTGGTATTAAATCTTTAAGATATTTTTAAAATGTGCTGTACACTAGTATAGACTTCAAATTATTAACTAAGAATCAAAGGTCAGTTTTCTAGTCATGAGAAGTTTTTTAAGGGAAATGAAATCCTCATTTTACTTTTTTCGGTTTCACCGAACTTCTGGCCTGGATTTCCTCATGTTCTAATTTATTTAAGATTGTGCTTTATTTAATACTTTTTAAAAGCCATATGGGAGATGTATTTTTCTAGAGATTTTTTAAAAGAACAAATAAGCAATTTAAAAGGGCTATTTTATGCAAAATATACAGTTTAAAAGGAGATCTAATTCTACGTGCAGACATATTAATATTTAAGGCTCCGAATATTAAGGGGTAAGACATTTTTATATATATTGTAGATCTATAGAAATAAAATTTGAGGAAAATATATCTCATAGACGTGCATTGGTTAAGAAAATGGATTCAAATCCTGGCAACACTTGCTGGCTTCATGATTTTAGGCAAATTGCTGAAGCTCTCTACTCAGGTTCTTCATCTGTTAACATGAAGAATAATGCTACCTGATTGATAGAGTGAGGATTAAATTATTGTGTTGAATTAAACCTATGTTGATTAGGACAGATATCTACGTATGTGTTGAATATATTTAGGGCAGTGCCTGGTACGTAAATCTTTAAGTGTTAATGATGACGATGACAACTACCACCAAATTATTTGAACAAAAAAGACCTAGAGTTTATATTGTTCAGCATCTTAAATGGTTTTTTCTAAAACTATGTAAAAAAATTAATGAAAAACAGTTTTTGATCTTAGCTTCTGAAAAAAGTGTTTTGAAAATTCATATCAGAAAACCTGAGTTTAAGTCTTTGTGCTGCCATTCACCAGAGTAGACAAGTGCCCTGGCCTGTTGAAACCTCTTTTTCAACTTCAAAAGTGGAATAAGATACAATATCTCAAATGTTGGTGAGAAGAATAAATTCTCCTCTTCATGAGGGTTTCTGTCTCCCTCTAGAACAGCACTCCTCAGTAGAAATAAAATGTGAGCCATATGTGTAATTTACAGTTTCTCTAGTAATCATATTAAAAAAAGAAACAAGTGAAATTAATTTTAATAATATATTTAACCAAATGTCTAAAATATTATAATCTTAACATGTAATAAATATAAAAAATGAGATTTTTTTTCATGTTAAGTCTTTGAAATCTAGTGTGTATTTTATACAGCACATCTCAACTTGAACTAGCCTCATTTCAAGTGCTCAGTAGCCACATGTGGCTGGTGGATACTGAATTGGACAGTCCAGATCTGGAATATAGATTAGTATTCCCTATCAGTGCTCTTGGGTACTGGCGTTGCTTTGGCCTTAAGCAATCGGCATAGCCTTGTTCTTAAAACTATGTGCACCTTTGGATGCTTGAGCCTTACATCTCTTTCATCAGCAACCTAGATTAGTGTCTTTGCCCCAGGGAGAATAGGGTCCTACCCTGAGCTTTTTGGCTGACCCAGGTGAGGACTTGCTCTGGGCATGTCACCTACCTCTCTATTTGGTCAAGGCTGGTAGACAACCAGGGATTGCTGAACGTTGAGTATAATAAACCTTTTGAACTTATTTCTTATCTGTCCTTTTTTGCCTCTTTCCCAAATTTCAGAGACTTATCTGGGGAAAAGAGCAAATACCAGCATTCTTCTAAAGGAATTCAGCTTCTCTGTCCTCTTCTTCAACTTGGCTTAACAAGGCAGCCCTCTCTCTTCCCAAAGGTTATTTTTACTTTTGAAAAGACATTTAGAAACCCTTTTGGGGACAAGAAATTTGAGGGGCGCAGGGAAAGTATTAAATTCTACATGATAACCCTAGGCTAACTTTTTATATCTAAGCTTTTTTTTTTTTTTTTTAAAAAAAAGGTTTTCTGATACTGTCTTTACCCAAATTTTGGGAGAACTGTAGTGAAGGCAGTGTATCCTGAAAGCTGTGTGTAATGGTGAAAAGAGTAGAGAGTGTGGGATTCAGGTGCATTCATCCACCAAAAAGCTGCTCAGATGTTACCTTCTTAGGGAGTCCTACCTTGATCACTCTCTCTAAAATAGCTGCCAGCCTCCAGCACTCTGTCTCTACCTTATTTTGGGTTTTGGGGGCTAAAAATGTCACTTATGACTGACTAAAATTATGTGTTTGCCTTCCTAAATAGAATGTAAGCTCCATAGGAATGTGGACTTTGTTTTGTTGACCGCTGTGTCCCCAACTCCGAGTAAAATGCCTAGCAGTCAATACATGCCTGTTGAATCAATGAATAAATAAAGTGAAAGGAAATGCTAACATATTATTTTCTGTGTGTACTAAATGATTTTAAGATTAGATACCTGGTAGAGTTCTTCCCTGATCATTGTTGTATTGGGCCATTATATGTGATGTTTGAATTTTCAGACTAATCTCAGTTGTAGGAATCCTAATGTTTACTCTTAACCAGTTATTTAGATAAACTTTTACTTCCTTTAGATAGTGTGGATCATGAGGAGGGAGAATGAAGTAGCTTGGAATGCAGTTGTAAAAGGGACATAGAGGATCCAGTCTATACCACGTTAAAATTTCAGATTATACAGGGTAATAAAATGGAGGGATGGGTATTGGGATAGGAAATTGAATTGAAATTTTATAGTTCAGGTGCTATAAATATGCCTAAGGTTTTGGGGCTAGATAGTTGACATAACAGGTAATAGAAGTTTAAGTAGAAGATGAGAGAGAGACATAGCCAGAGAGATTAATTAGTATTATATTATTTGGTGGAAATGTGGGCTATATAGGATTGTGGCCAAAAATCCACAAATCATATTTTCATTATCTTTGTTTAGAATCTTTATTTAAAATTTTAATTATCTCTGTCAGTTTCTCAATTGTTCTTCCATTTTATCTCTCATGTCTTTGTACCAACTTGATACCAATACTCATACCTTGTGCTCAATGAAATTATGGTACCTGTGAACACAAACTCATTATACTCTGCAAAGGCCAATAATGTCATCATAACTCCCAGTTTGTCCCAGGAACACCCTGGCAATAAAAGTAATCCAAACATGTTGAAAACTCTCAAATTTTATTAAGAACTACTTACGTTGCATTCAAATAAATTTTTAGCAAAAGAAGTAAAGACAGACTTAGTTTTTTACCTTTCTTTGTTTTACTTCTTTAAATGAGAAAAACCTATTTTATGTAAATGCACCAGCTTTTTTAGAGTAATATGAGTAGAGTAATACTTGGTTTGTGAATATATTTAAGAAAAGCAATAACCAAAATTGTATATACTTTTTATTTGTGGCAGTAGGCTTTCGTTTCAGTTGGGTTATATTATTGTGTTACAATTTTAAGGTTTTATGAAGTTTGATTAAATAATATTCTACCTGTACTAGGTAATTTTAAATTACATTTAGTTTAAATTTAAATGATAGTTCATGTGATGCATTTTAACCTAACATCTTCTTTCTTATTAGTCTGTAAGACTTGTATTGTCCAGCACTTTGAAGATAGCAATGATTGTCCAAGGTGTGGCAACCAAGTTCATGAGACAAATCCACTAGAAATGTTAAGGTAAGGAAATGTATTTTACAGTTCATCTAATTTAAAAAAAGCTTAATTTTTTTCTTAATTTTTATTATACATCATAATATTTCTTGATGTCTTGATTCAGTTAATACAGGTCTTATGAATTTTATGATTCTAATGTTAAAGCATTTTATTTCATTTTAAAGTATTTTATTAAGAAGAATTAAAAAATAAGGTTGTAAATCTTAAATATTTCAGAAGCACATTTCCAAACTAAAATTATAACTTTCTCATAGACTCTAAGAGTGACTTTAGTTGCAGCTGTTTTCAGTATTTTAATACTGTTTCCTTTTTTTTTTTTTTTTTGAGCAAATGGTAGTGGAAAAGGGGCAGAACTAATAGAAGAACTAATCTTAGAACTATTGATTTTTTAAAATTTACCATATATTCAAAAATGAGTATATTTTTGAATATATTTGAAATATTTATGTAAAACTTAAAGAATTTTTTAAAAAGACTACCATTTACTTGCCACTCAATGTAAGTAGTATAACAACATTTTTTTAAAGCTGGAAGTAGTCTGAGATCCTAATCCAAACCCTTTTATTCCCAATTAGGAAATTAAATTCACAAAAGTGAAATGATTTACCCAGTGTCTCACAGCACACCTCAAATGTCACTTCCCAGCTACAGGCCAGGTTACCTTACCAGTAGTCCCTTGTTTCCTTCCTACTGTTCCTACTGTAGCTCTAACACAGATCACCTGTGTGATCTTAAGGACGCACACATCTAAAAATAGAGCCAGATATTCTTTGAAACCTTTTTAACTCTCTTAATTTGTGTAATGTTTGTCATCATTCTATAAATCTGGATTTGCAAGTCTTATATAAGACTTTTTTTTCCCCCAATTTTAGTACCTGTAGTTGGGGTCATTTGTCTACAGGTGAATGTCTAGCCCAGTGATTTTCAAAGCATGGTCCCCAAACCATTAGTACCTTGTTAGAAATGACAGTTCTCGAACCCCCACCCCAGACCTGCTGCATCAGAAGCTCTGAATTGGAACCTACTTAGTTTACCAAGCCCTCCAGGTGATTCCAATATGTGCTAACATTCAAGAGCTACTGGTCTGTGGCTTGTAGTTCTGAGCAAAGCTTCTGCTAGTTGGATTTATATCAGTACTTCTCAACCAGGGGTGATTTTGCCCCTCAAGATACATTTAACAATATCTGGAGACATTTTCGATTGTCAGCTCTGGGTGGGTGCTACTGGCTTCTAGTAGGTAGGGACTAGGGACACTGCTGAGCACGAGTGCACAGGACAGCCCACTCACAACAACAGTTATCCAGCCCAAAATGTCAATAGTGAGGAAGCTCTGATTTAAATAATTCAGAGAACAAAGCAAACTTTTTCTCTCAAATAATTTTTTTCCTATTTTTTAATCAAAAACTATAAGAGTTAACTATTACCTATTCCATTTTAAAGTACTGTGTCATAAAACAATTTATGTTAATCTCCTGGTTCTCACCATTAGATAGCTGAAGGAATCCAGTAACTATTCAGTCAAATCTCATCCAGCGGCTAAAGTACGATGTTATACTTTTTAACTTTTTGTTTCGAAATAATTTCAAACTTACAGAGAATCCCCAAAATAAAAGTAGTACAAGGAACACTTGTAGTCTATTTACCCAGATTAGTCTGTTTTTAATGTTTTATTTCATTTGCTTTATCATGTGCATGCATGCATTGCATGTTCTATTTTTCTGAACTATTTGAGGGTAAGTTACATGTCATGGCCCCTTACTCTTATATACTTTAGTGTGTATTTCCTAAGAATAAGGAATTCTATAACCACAGTGTGACTGCATTAGTATAATATACTTTCCATATTCCAGTTTTGTCAATTTATTTAATGACGTCCTTCATAGAGGTTTTGTTCCCTCCTGAAATTCCATTAAAATTACTACAAAGGAATTTTTTAAAGATGTAGATTCACAGAGAGATAATAAGAACAAGAAATTCTGTATCTTTGGCACCTAGGATGGCTTCTGGAACATAATAGGTTCTCAAATTCTTGTTGAAAGGATGCAAAGAAATGGTAGTGAAAGAGATGTCAGCAAAAATTGAAAGCTGGAAAGCAGAATGATGATGGTGATGGTTGAGCAGACCTAGGCAGCCTGACTATACCAGGAGACTAGGAGGTGGCAGGGAAGATCTTTACCAAAGCTTTCCCCAGCAGCCTTCCTCTTATTGGCCAAAACTAGGTCATATGATAGCCACTAGGTAAACGGGTGTGGTGGGGTTTTGAGATGCCGTAACACATCGTGACGTTATCCCTAAGGCTGGCACATTGCTGCCAGAACACAATCAGATTTTGCTAACAAGAAATAAGGGAAATTTAGCCTCCTTCAATATGTAACAATGTCTGCTACACAGGTAATAAAAAATTTACCTACTACGTACCCTTTCTCAGGAGGCTGTTGAAGGATGTGCTGGAAGATATACCAAGAAAGAAGAGAATCTAATTTAGGCGAGAGATGAAGGAATATGACAGTTGTGCAACAGACCTGGAAAACAGGCAGTCTGTATTTGTACCGTGCAATATGGGAGCCATTAGCCACAGATGGCTGTTATGCACTCGTGGTGTTGCTAGTGAGACTGAGGAATGGAATTTCTAATTTAATTGCAATTAAAACCTGAAGCAGTATAAATATTTTCCCATTAAATATAACTTTATTGTTAAATAAAAATTACTAAATGTATTATTAAATTTTTAATATATAATAAAAATTATTAAGATTCATTTTACATAAAACATGTAAAATACTTCTGTTAATGTGCCTAATAGGAAATTTAAAATTACATGTTTGACTCATAATTCCATTAGACATCACTGATATGATGGTAGAAGGGGGATGGAGAACTCCATGAGGGAATCATTCATTCAGCAGATATTTACTGGATGCCTGTTATGTCCAGGTACCATTCTAGGCACTTGAGGTCCATTACTGGACAAAATAGACAAAGATCTTTGCCCTCAAAGAGTTAATATTTTTGTAATGAGAGACACACAATAAACTATATAATAAGTAACTTGTATGTTAGTGAAAAGTGCAAAGGGGAGAAGGGGTAAAGTGTTGCAGGGTGAGGGGATCAGGAGTGTGAAGGGAGGGGCAGATTGCAATTTTAAATAAGATGGTGAGGATAGGCCTCAGTGAGAATGTGAGATTTGAGCAAACACTTGAAGGCTATGAGGGAGTTAGCTGTTGATAAGTCTGGGGAAAGCGTGCCTGCTCCTGGGAGTGGCCATTGCAAAGGGTGTAAGTCAGGAGTGCACCCGTGACTTGTTGGAGAACCACCAGGGAGACCAGAGTGGTTGGGAAACAGTGAGTGAGGGAGAGAACAGTGGGTGATGAGGGCAGAGAGATTATGAGAGATCAGATTGTGAAGGGCCATATGGGCCACTGCAAACAGTTTCTCTTTTACTCTGAGTGAAATGGGGAACCACTGCAGGAGTTTGGTTGGAGGAATAGCATGATCTGACTTAGTCTTGAAAGGAACATTTTGATGACTGTATTGAGAAAATTTGCATATAGCAGGACAAGGGTAGAAGCAGGGAGAACAGTTAGAAGGTAATCACAGTGATCCCAGTAAGAGGTGGTAGCAGTAGAGGGGATAAGAAATGGTGATATTCTTAATATATTTTGAAAGTAGAGCCAGCAGGATTTACTGATGAATTGGATATAGGGTGTGAGATAAAGAGTAGATCATGACTCTGAGATTTCTGACCTGAGCAACTGGAGGAAAGGAGTTGTCATTAACTGAGATGGGGAAGACTAAGGATAGAGCAGGTTTGGAAGAAGAGGTAGACCAGGAGTTCAATTTTGTACATGTTGAGTCATTATTTCAGAGAAGAAAGAAAGTTGGCAAGTGGATATATGAGTCTTGGATTCAAAGGGAGAGGTCTGGGCTAGAAACAAATATGGGGTAGTCTTCAGCATATAGAAGATTTTTAAAGCTGTGAGGCAGGATGAGCTCACTTAAGGGATTGAGATGGAGAGGCAAGAGTAGAGGACCGAGGACTGAGCCCTGGAGCACTCCATCATTATGTGTTCAGGGAGAAGAGGAGAGCCAGCAACGGAAACTGAGAAGGCACAACCAGTGAGGCAGAGGAAAATCCAGGACTGTGTGGTGCTCTAGAGGTCAGTGAAGAAAGTATGTATATCAAAGATGACAGAGTGATCATCTGTGTCAGATGATGTTCATGGGTCAAGTAAGGCAAAGACCAAGAACCGATGGTCAGGTTTAGCAACATTCATTAGCCTTGATGAGCACTTTCTTTAGAGTTGTGAGGCAAAAACCTAATTGGATTGTTTTAAGAGAAATGAAGGAAAAGAAATTAGCAACAGTGAGTGTAAACAATTCTTTCAAGGAGTTTTGCTGCGAATGGGAGCAAAGAAATGGGGAGTAGAGAGTTGCTATCAGGAGAAGTGCAGTCAAGAGGTTCTTTATTTTGTTTTGACATGGGAAAAATAATGGCATGTTTGAAGAGAATGATCTAGTAGAGAGCAGAAAGCTAATAATGCAGGAGAGTGGGGGATGGAATCTAATAGCATAAGAGGAGAGATGAGCTTTATGTACTAGCATTGACAGATAATCGGTAGCAGTAGGCAGGCAGGCAGGGAGCACATGGTATAGTTGCTGTAGGTAGATACAGTGGCCAGAATCTGTGGATGTTTGTTTTTCATTGCTTTTATAGTTTTCATTGAGAAGAAAGTGTCAGCTAAGAGTAAGGGTGGAGAAAGGGGATGTGAAGGGTTGAGGAGAGGAAAAAAGTGTGTTGTCCGGGGAAGTGAGAGAATAAATTGCACCAGGGAAGTGTGGTATGATTCCTGGCAGCCCTAAAAGCACATTTGGGTTGTAGATACAAATTTGAATGGATTAGGTTATGTTTTTATCTAGACATTGGTGCAAGTGTGGAGTTGATGGAAAGCTGGATTTAACCAGAGTCGTCCTTGTACCAAATAATTTTGAGCAAATGAGAGAGACAGACAAGGGGACCAAGGGTACATATAAAGGAGTGATTTTAATGACTGACTCCAGATCAGATTAGTCCTAAACTGGATGAGGAGGACAGAGGACATCAAAGTGGTGAGGAAGGTCTCAGAGGAAACAAGTGAATCCAGTTGATTCCTGATTTGTTTGTACATAGTGAAAAGAGATTTTTTTTTGAGTCTGGGAATAGGGAAATGAAGAGAAAGCAGTTACTAACTCCAGGGTAAGAAAAAAGTTGAATGAGGGGATATCTGTAATCAGAGTACATTGTGAATACTTATATAATCATAACCATGTAAACACTGGTTATGAAACAAAAAATGAAACTATGTTGGGTAAATATATTGATAATAAAACTATATTGGGAAAATGGGATTAGGGAAAAAGTTTATGTTGGGAGAAAAGGAGTTGGGATGATTAAGAGAATTAAATCTTTATCTTCCATAAAAGGAAGTCAGAAAAATCTAGACAGCAGAAAAAGCTGGCTTTTTTAAAAAATAAAAATATTAAATATTAGAAGCAAAGATTAGATTTGAAAGTGGTTGCCTCTGGGGTTGTAGAATCAGGAATAGGGAGGACGAGGCATGGGAATGTTGTATTTTAATGTAAGTTTTATAGGAAAGTTTTAGTTTTAAGTTATGTACTTTTAATACTTTGATTAAAAGATGTTAAACTAAGAAGAAAAGTACTATTGTGTCTTATGTACTACTACTATTAAATAGTCTTGGAAAGCTTTGTGAATGAGTTAATATTTGAGTTAAGTCTTGAAGAATAAGGTAACATTGGTTTGGTTAGAGAGTAGGAAGAGTGTTTGAGCCAGGGTGAAAAACAGGAGGGAGAAAAAGAGATTGGTAAAGACAGGAATTCTTGGGATAATTGAATAAGCCAGTTGGCTAGAGAGGAGAGACTACAAGAGGGGATAGTACCAGTACAGTTTGTAGATTGGTCTGAAGTTATGTAAACGCTTGATGGCAGGTAGTGAGGAGAAATTAGTTCTTGAGCAGGGAAATAATCACATTACTACTTTAGGAAGATTCATTATGAGCATGTCTGTGTGTGCTCTTGGTAGGGTGGTGATTGAGTGAGTGGAAGAATGTAGGTGGGGGTGGGGAAGGTATAGGTGGGAGGAGCATTGAGAAGGAGCTCTAAGTATGGCTTGGTGAGTAAACCTGTGAATCAGGGAGAGAGAGAGAAGTCAAGAAAAGTCTTTTATTTTTAGTCTATTTGGGAGAATTATGATATCATTTAAAAATTTAATTTTAAAAAGGTGACAATGAAAGGAATATTCAGTATTTTGTTGGAGGAGGACAGATGAGATAATCTTGACATAGATGAATAAAAGGAGGTGTTCAGAAATGTTCAGCATCTGTTTCAAATATGGAGCTTGAGCTCAGCAGAGAGATGTGAAACACAGGCAGTTAGATAGGTAGATACATAGGTAGACAGACAGACAGGCAGATGAAGTTATCTGACTGTATGTCAGTTTTGAGATGAGATCAGGGAAGACAGCCCGTAGAAGAGGTCAAAGAGTGCAGAGTACAGAGCAATGGAGAATACTCAGATTTAGAAGTAGTTGGAAAAAAAAATAGGAACAAAGAAAGAACACACAGAAAAAAGAAAAGAAAACTGGGAAAGGAAATTTTCAGGGAGGCAGTGTTAGGTAACACTGTCAAACGGCTGCAGAGCAATATAGGAGAAAAATACATTTAAAAAATAATTTTTTAATTTAAAATTTTAATTCTAAAAAAAATTTAAACCTATTCAATGTGGAAGTTATGAATGATTTTGAGAGTCTGATTGAGCAAAAGAAGCAAAACAGTATGTGACAGAAATAACGTCGGGGGTTTTTTTTCCAGTTAGAAGAAAAGATTGAGAAACAATAGCTTGAAAAGACAAGGTAAGCAAAGGTTTTTGTTGTTTTAGATGTGAGAAACCTCTGCATGTTGTAAAGTCAGAGAAGATAATGGTGTTGAGCAGGATGAAGTTGCTGAAGCGAGAAGAGGGTATTGTGGGGACAAGAGAGGGATTGAAGCGATGAAAGCCATGAAAGGAGAAATGATATAGGAGGAAAAAAAGTAAGAGAAATGTCAAGATAAATTACATTTTTTATCTCGGGAGATAGAACAGCGAAATGGTGAAAATTGCTTAGAAGAGAGAAATGGAGATTATTTCCTTTATAGGAAAGAGCCAGAGTTGTGGTAGAAGTTTTGAGAGTGGATGTTATCAGCTATTGCTGCATAAAAGACCACTCCTAAATTAATGCTTGAAACAATGATTATTTTTTTTCCTCACAGTTCCCTGTGTTAGCTGGATGGCTCCTCTGGTCTTGGCTGGGCTCACTTGTGCAGCTGCAGTTAGCTGTGCATTGGGTCGTCTAGTCTGATGTTGGCTGGGTTTTGTCCGGTGTTGGAGGTCGGACTGTCTGTGGACTAGTCTGAGGTGGCAGCTTGGCTCTCCTCTACATGGCATCTCATCCTCCAGACTTGTTCTTATGGTGGCAGGATTCTGAGAGAGAGACAGAGAGAACACGCACGCGTGCACGGGCGCATAGAGCCTCTTGAGGCTTAAGCTTAGAACTAAGCACAGTGTCGCTTGTGCCACTTTGTGTTGGCCTAAGCAGTTTTTAAAGCCAGCCCGTATTCTCAGGGCAGAGAGATAGACTCCATCCCTTAGTCAAGAGAGGAATTTCAAATTCATGTTCAGAAGATGTAGGTATAGAGAGAGACGGGGACTGGGACCATTTTTGTAGTGAGTGTACCACTGAGGAAGGCTAGACGTAGGTATGCTCCATGGGCAGAGGAGTGTAGTGTAGTAGATGTGTTAAAACTGTGAATGTTCCATATTTTGCAATACATGTAAGATATAGATCTCAAACTATTTACATATTGGATTTTGATGTCTTCATTGTTAGTGTATTCTTTTTTTTTTTTTTTTTTTTTTTTTACCCCATTTTGAAGGTTGGATAATACACTAGAGGAAATTATATTTAAGCTGGTCCCTGGACTACGAGAACGTAAGTTGCTCTTTAGGTTCTTGCAGACTTTTGTGTTTTATGAAATCAACATTTCTATTAAAAGATTTCATGATTGTTCCTTTGGTTTTTATATTTTTTTTTTCTTTTAAATTAGAAGAACTTGAGCGCGAATCTGAATTTTGGAAGAAAAATAAGCCTCAAGAAAATGGACAAGGTGACTTTTTCTTACATCTGCGTAACAGCATCTCAAGTTGGTCAGCTTTTTGTAGCGTTGGTGAACTAATCACCTTCTTTAAGCTTAATTTTTTCTGCACAAAACTCATGCACCCCTTTATTTACATTATGAACCTTTTTATAAGATTTTACACAAATGTATGTAATCTGGAGTCACTCTGGTTGAAGGTAATTGGAAATAGAGGAAACCGTCTTTGGGAAGAGAAAAGGGAAATAGAAAATTGACCAAATGTTTATAGCAGTATTTTCTAGAGAGCTAAGGGAAGCTGAACTAAGAAATAGCCATAGTGTGCAACTAAACAGTGAGAGAGTTTTTGTTTTATTTACTTTGTTTTGTTTTAATAGGAGGGGAAACTAAGATGTGGCTGATAGCCATTTGTATTAGGGGATTTTACTATGCTCTGAATGATGTTTTTATAAGTAGAGCTCAGATGATACAAACTTATATGTCCAGGGAGATTTAGAAAATATTTCTGGGTGCCTATGGGAATTTTTTCCATCACTTGTGCTGAGTGTCCAGATTTCTCCTCTGGGTCCCAAGAGACTCAGCAATTAGTAATTTTTAATAATAATTTCAGCAAAGTGGTAAACCTTACCGAGAAAAGGCTTTTAGTGTGTATATTATCCATACAAAAGGATAGCTGAAATTATAGGGAAATAGTATCTTTCCCATTGTTTTTTTTAATATGAGATTTAATTCAAGATGTCCTAAATATCATTGAAATTTTTCAAGGATGTGTGTATATCCTTACAGGCGCACTTGTGAGCTCAGCCTCCCAATCTTGTTTTTCCCATAAGATCTTAGAATTATCAATTATACATCATCATTAAAGTGGATAAGAAAATACCATCTTTCTTTTTTCATCTGTAAAATGGAGATCATAGTTTTATTAGTTCAACTTAACTGTACAGGGTGTTTTCCTCAAGCAGGGGACATTTGAGAACAGTTTTGATGACGGGAATAAGGTAGCAAGGGACTATTTTTTTTATCTAGAACAACAAAATGGACAAAGAAGCTAAGCCTCACCAGAAAAAAAAACAAAACCACTAACTTAACTAAAGGCTTGTTTTACCTAAATGTACATTGCAGTTAGACAGTAGTGCTTTGTAATAAAAATGTAGATATATAAGGTTAATTAAACGTTCGAGTTCTTGACTGCCTGTTCAAGAGGACAGGAGTCCAGGGGATTGTTATCAAAAGTTATATATGGTAGGTTTACTCTATGACTTTATGTATCATAGATGTGAAAGGCTATATATATAGCTCACTGTATGAATTTCTTCACCCTTTCTGCATTGTTTCTCCCTTTTTAAGTATTTATGATATTCAGTGTTTAGTCTGGGTGGAGAATTTGGCTCTTTTCTTGGAGCTGGGAGTTTGGTTCACAGAAGGCCACTCCTGTTTCTGTGGGTCCTATATAAACATGGAGAAGAGAGAGAACTCACTTTCCCTTTATGGTACATCTGTAATGTTTTTACTATAGTCATGGAAGAGGAACTGACCTGTCATTTGTGGGGGTCTTTTCTATGATGTAATGCTTGACTGACTAATTTTTCCAAATTTTAGCTTAGAGGTATTTCATCTTGAAATCTTCCCCTAATTTCTGCTTCACCCCCAAAATTTGGCTTTATTGCCTTTTTAATATATGCCCACATACTCCATTTTACCTCTCCCATCCTGTATTTGTTTGTTTTTTTAACTTGCCCATATTTTGTCCTGTATCCCGACTGCTATGAGGGTGAGGATAATAGCACCTAGTTTCAGTATTGTTCTTTCAGGCCTATCACAACACATATCTAACATATGGTTAAAGCTACTCAATAAATGAGTGAGTCAGTAAATATAGTTGCATTATTTATAGACTATAGATATATAACAGGTTAAATACATTTATATGTAATATAAAGTATGCTATTCAGATTTCTTTAATGGAGTTTTAACATGTTACATCACTACATGTTAAAAAGCTAATTCATTCTCATTTTTTCACTAGCTGATTTTATGAATATCTAATAATTTGAAATTTTGAGAATTTCAAGAGAATATTTTATAATTTGAACAATGAGTACTTGGTTTTTTAATGTGAATATGTAGAGAATTTGGAAGAATTTTTATATATCCTTTCTACTTTCTAATGTAGTCTAATCACTAATTGTAATTATTTTTGCGATCAAGTATAGCTAGTCCTGAATCTTTCATTTGAATGTCCCAATGAGCCTAGAAATTTTAGGCTATTGTTAATAAGTCTCTGTTGGTTTTTAAAAAATATTTCCATTGTTGAGCTGGTTGGAACATTTTAAAGATAGTAAAATTTTCAGGCATTCTTCTTCAAAAACTGTCAGGAAATGTTTTCTAAACTTGATTTTTGATTATTTTTGCTTAACTTAGAATCAATTTTGAGTTACAGCTAACTTAGTTTTGTTTAAATTATACAGATGATACTTCAAAAGTTGACAAACCTAAAGTAGATGAAGAAGGTGATGAAAATCAGGATGATAAAGACTATCACAGAAGTGACCCACAAATTGCTATCTGTCTAGATTGTTTACGAAATAATGGGCAATCAGGGGACAATGTAGTAAAGGTGAGTGGACAAGTACAGTTGTATTTTTGTGATCATTTTATAGTAAACCCTTGATAATTTGTTGATGAATTTTCCTAATGCTTCAAAATGTTTGCTTTCAAACTTTTTATTAACAGTCAAACAGAATGCCATCCTTTGACAGTCCTGTGCCTATAGATGTTCAAGCAGTTGCTTACTCTGAGCACCTGTTTTTTCCAGCACCCACAACCGAACAGTCCTGGGCCAATGCCACCACCTAGTGGCTATATGGAGAATCACACCTCTATTTCTCCTCTCCACCTCCTTTTATACCTTTGTTGGGAGTTCATATGCATTGTTTTTCCTTTTTTTAAAGTGTAGTAACCAACTTAAACTCGGAGAATTTCATGTCAGGCAGTGAACCATTTTATTTACTATGTTCTGATTTTATCCTTTATTTCTCTATTTTTATTCGCAACTCAACAAGCTTTCCATATCATGACTAGTATATTTTATGAATAACATAGCAGTTTTAAAGTAAAATTGGATGTTGTATAGTGCCTCTGAACTTTTAAAGTTCCTGAAGAGTCTGTTATTTCCTATAGAATCTCCATTTCTAATACTGTTTCCTTCTGTATCTGCTAAGTGAACCTTTTTTTAAAGGATCTTTAAAGAAAGTTTGAAACATTGTACTCACTTTTATTTTCTTTGATCTTTAAATGGTTTTACTTAAATAATTTTTTCTGCTTTTTTATCGAAAGAAAGTTTCATTTTCATTACACATGTTCACTACTTTAGCTCTTACCTCGATTTTTGTCACTTTTTCCTAGCAGGTGTCAACCATTAAGAATCTTGTTTCTCTCTTTGTATTCTATGTTTTATTTAAATGCCTATATTCATTGTCTGCAATCTTCCTTTACTGCTACTGTGTGAATTTTTAGGCCAGCAAGTTGAATTTTTGTTAATATGTTTGATGGTATTTTCCCATTAGAAAATGAAAAACATTAATTTTTCAAATCAGATTAAGTTTTCCCAGCCTCTTGCAACAAAGAATATTTATGAACATAGTAATTCAATGAGTATTTTCCACTATGTGGATATTAGGCAACAAAAATATAAGTTATTATAAAAAAGTTGTTATAAGAAAATCTTTCAAGGAACTTGGTTAGATCCTACATATACAAACAATTATAATACAATAAGATAATAGATTTAGTTAAGGGGGATAAGGCATGTAATAAAGTGTATTTCTCTAAAGATTTTCAGAGAATGGCCACTGTACCTATTTATCTTCCCAGTCTTCTCTGTTGTTTTGTTTTTCTGAGACAGGGTCTCATACTTTTGCTTGGACTAGAGTACAGTGGTGTCATCATAGCTCACTGCAACCTCAAACTCCTGTGCTCAAGCTATGATCCTGCTTCAGCCTCCCAAGTACCTGGGACTATGGGTGTATGCCCCACACCCAGCTAATTTTTCTAATTTTGGAAAGATGGAATCTTGCTCTTGCTCAGGCTGGTCTTGAACTCCTGAGCTCAAGCAATCCTACTGCCTCGACCTCCCAAAGTGCTAGGATTACAGGTGTGAGCCACCGCGGCTGCCCTCTATTGTTTTTTATGTTCTGGTGTAGCACCTTTTTTTTGTTTGTTTTTTGTTTTTTGGTAAGTCTTTTCATCAGGGTTTCTGTAACTATATTTCTCTCTTTTTGGTAGTCATTTCTGTAATCTCCCTTTCAGGAAGTTCTTCGTAGAGATCGTGATCACCCTTTAGCTCTCTAATACATGAGTTATCTCATAGTGAAAGTTACAAGGAATTAGAGTCAATGGAAGGGCTGAATATCTTCATAAATAAATGTAGAGTCGTCTTCTCTGTGTTATTTCTAATATGAAAGTATAAAACATTGCATTGTCAAAATTCATCTGAAAAGTTACCTCTGCCTTAATATTCTCCTTTTTGATACTTTGCTGTTCCCATTGACCTTTTATCCATTCACTCTTTCCTTTATAGACTTTTCTTCATCCTTGTACCTTCATTCTTAAAACAACTTTCTTAGCTTGTAAATGACTTATACTAAGCTACCCTTTTTTCTCCCAGGCTGTTCCTACTTTGTCTCCATTGGCTCTGCTTCTTGCCTTCTACTTGATATATGTAAGTCCTAATGCTTTCTCTGTGTTTATTCTAGGAGACCTTTTTCATTTTTTGTGGTTTCTAAGAGGCAGAAGACTTTTAAACCCTCATTTCCAACCATGCCATCTCTCCCAAGCTGAAGTATTATATCTCGAACTATTTTTAAATATATCAGTTGAGAGTTTCACTAACACCTGAAACTTAACATGTCTAAAGGCAAATTCATTGTATTTCCATCTAACTTTACTCCATATATGCAGTTTCAGTCATGACTACCGTCTTTCAACCATACAAGTTCAAAACCTTGAAGTCATCTTTAACCTTTTACTCTTTTCTTTCAACCAGTCACTAATCCTGCAAAATTTCCCCCAGTTTAGTGCTGCTCACCCTCATATCTAGTTTTCTTAAAAGTAGTTCCTTAAGTATTTTCAATACTTATACCCTTAATTTCTCTTTTTTTATCCAGGGCTAGGAACATATGCCTGAATGTGTGTAAGGCAGAAGGTCAGGACCAGGGTCATGACCAATCTCAGGATCAGAAAATAAATGTTTGGCTTTGTAGGCCATATGGGTTCTGTTGCAGCTTACTCATGGTAGCACTAAAGTAGCCTAGACAGTAGTGAATTAATAGGTATGGTGCTGTTCCAATAAAACTTTACTTACAAAAATTGGTGACCAGCCAGATTTGGCCTGAGGACATGGCCATAGTTTGCCACTTTCTGGCCTGTAGAATTAAGTTATAACTCCTTACATTAGCATTCAAGGCCCTTCACTAACAAGCCCCTCTATTAATAAGTTTATCTACCATTAAACCCATCAGTGAATCCTCCTCTCCAAACAAATGATTGTTGCTTCATGTATGAGTTCTGTATATATATGTTGGAAACCACATATCTGACAAAGGATTTGTATCCAGAATATAAAAAGGCTTGTATTATGAATATTTAAAGACCTCTAAAACTTTGAACAATCCTTCCTTTTCGGCATGTTCTTCCCTCTTCTCTTCACCATCCTATGCTTCTGTTAAGATAGAAACCAACATTCCTATTTTTGTGATGCTTTTTCCAATCTTGTGAATTCCTTCTCTGAAATTCTGTAGTACTTACATTGATAACTCAATTAGGGCTTAGCTTTTTATCTGTTAAGGGTGCTCCATAGGGTAGTAGGCACTGATACTATCTTTTATCTATTTTGATGTGTGTCTTGTCCTTGAAACTAGATTGTAAACCCCTTGGTGGCAGAGACGTAATGTCCGTATTGCTTCTCAAACCATCTCATTCTTCTGCAGTGGGATGTGATTCTCAAATGCAGTGATGGAGTAGTTGTATGTGTGTTTTTTTTTTTTTCTGAGATGCATGTGTGTTTTATACAATATACCTACTGCCTTTGTAATGCAAAAGTCAAAGTGAGGAGTAGGATGTCAATAAAAATAGTAGAGTAAATGCCTCTGAAAACAGTGGCAAAAATTTTCAGGATCAGCCTTTTCGGAGATCTGATATTTAACCAAAGGCTTGCAGAAGCCTATGGAGCATTTAGTCAAGAAGATGACTCTCAGTAAAAAGAGTGAACTTCGAGACATTTTAATTTGCCTTAGTCCCGTCCCCCACTCTCCAGATCTGCTGTAGCCTGGAAAAATAACAGCCTGCTTTCCCACCCGGTCTCTGAGGCACCTAGAGGGAAGAATGGAGGGTGGAGCTCTTTCAAAGCCTCAGTGCCAAAGAATTGTCATTATTTGATCTGTTTGGTTGTTCCCCGGAAGACTCCACTTACAAGGTTGTCTATTTGTGACCTGATTTGGAGCTTGTCCAGTGGAAAAAGCCCTTTCTGTGTTATAGGGGAAAGGGACATTTTTCAAGAACAGTTGCAGGTAAGTATTTTAACTTCATGACTGCCTGAGGTATAGATAATATTTGGGACAAACAATAGACTAACCAAAAAGCTACTACTACCTACTAGGATAGCTATAATTTTTTTCTAAAGAAAGGAAAATAATGTTGGGAGGAAAATGTGGAGAAATTGGAACCCTCATATATTGCCGATGGGAAGGTGAAATGGTACAGCCACTATGGAAAACAGTTTGGCAGTTCCTCAAAAAGTTAAGCATTAAGGGACCATATGACCCAGCAGTTCCACTCCTGAGTATATGATGTGTGTAGTATATATAGTAGTTCCCCTTATCCATAGGGGTTATGTTCCAAGATCCCAGTGGATGCATGAAACTGCAGATAGTACTGAACCCTATAATACTGTTTTTTCGATCTGATCACCAAGATGGCTACTAAGTGACTGATGGGAGGGCAGCTTGTACCACTTGGATATGCTGGAAAAAGGGATGAGTCATGTTCTGGGGCACAGGGCAGGATGGTGCAAGATTTCATTATGCTACTCAGAACAGCGCACAGTTTTAAACTTATGAATTGTTTATTTCTGGAATTATCCATTTCATATTTTTGGACTGTGAAATATTGAAATTCTGTTTCACAGAAATATAGTAACTGAAACTGCAGAAAGCAAAACTACAGATAAGGAGGGACTACATTATAAAAGAATTGAAAACACATGTCCACACGAAATCTTGTATATGTATGTTCATAACAGCATTATTCATAATAGCCAAAAGTAGAAACAACCCAACTGTCCATCAGTTGATGAATAAACAAAATGTGATATATCTACCCAATTGGAATGAAGTATTGAGACATCTACAACATGTACAACATGGATGAACCTTGAAAACATGCTAAGTGAAAGGAGCTAGACACAAAAGGCCACATAGTGTATGATTCCATTTATATGAAATGTTCAGACTAGGATAGAGACAGGAAGTAGATTAGCAGTTGTCGGGCTGGCAGGGAGGGAAGGATGGAGCGTGACTGCTAATGGATTTGGGGTTTCTTTTTGGGTTGGTGAACATGTTT